CCTCCAATGATGAAGCACCCACAACTTCTGAAGGAAAGTTGTCCCACTTGTTGATTGTTAGCACCGTTAGGAAGTTTCTCCTTAATTTCAGATTGCTTGTCTCCTTGATTAATTTCCATCCACTGTTTCTTGTCTTACCTTCTGGTGCTTTGTAAAATAATTACTATTAATGCATCATTATTAGCAGTATTTTCCCCATGTTTTCTCTTCTCCCAATTTAAAAATCAAAAACACTGGGCTGAAAAAAAAAAAGCCAGTGGCTTAATTTTTTTTTAAAAAGGGAGGGGTGTGTTCATAAAGATGCTACGCTCCAGTTCTCGGGGTTTGGGGGAGGCGGACTTGTCATTTTGCTTGCAAGGCGCATCTCCCCGCTCAGAGAAAGACACATGCATGTTGGGGAGGAGGAAGAGGAACTGGATGCTGAGCCCGAGGCTGCTGGAAAGGGCTCCGGGGGAGACCCGGTGGGATTTCCTCCCGAGACCTCTGCAGAGAAAGACGACCTCTCTTTGCCCCGTCCGCGCACTGGCATCTTTTAGCCAGTGCGCGGACGGGGCACAACAACGCCGCCCGCGCACTGGCATCTTTTAGCCGCCTCTCGCTATTCATCAGGAGTGCACGCACGCGTGCTTGCACAAACTCTTTCGCCTCGGCGGGGCGCTAACATGGCTGCGCTCTGCGGCGGACTGACAGCCCCTTCCGTCCCGCTGCAGACCCCCGATTGGCCGTGAGGAGAAGCGCGAAGAAGCTCAGCGTCTTGGCCTCCCGTGTGGCTGCTGTTGGTACTGCGCTGCTGGCGCTCCGCCCTGCCTTTGCTTTCCGCTCTCCGTCCCGCCTCGTTTGGGAGCTGGTCGCAAGCGGGGGCGAAAAGTTGACGCCTCCCGCGCAGGTAAGCAAGCAAGCAGACGGGCGGGGGCGGAAGAGAAGGTCCTCTCCCGCTCCCCCTCGGCACTAAATGGGCTGGTAGCTGTATCTATAGGAGGCGGGGGGCGTGTTGTTTTGGGAAAGGGAAAGGCCTCCTCGCTATCCGCGAGCAGCGTCAGATTCAGGCTTAGCCAGGGTGTTAAGTCCCTTCGAGGCCGGGAGTCAAGCGATACCCTAAATAAACCATCCTGTCCCTGCAGCAGAGACGGCGAGAAGAACGATTTAATTCGCCAGTCGCTGCAGCGGGGTGGTGGTGGTGGTCTCTCCCCCCCCCCCCGCCTTGGAAGAAAAATAACTGAGGGGTCCTTGGTGCTCTCTGGGCTTGTTTTCTTGGAGACGTTTCATTACCCTTAACGAGGTAACATTTTCAGTGCTAGTATAAGGAGCGCTTTTGCTGTCAGTTTATATTCTGTCAGTTTATATTCTGGTGCCTTGCCTGTCTGTATGTGTTTGAGGGTGTCTTAGAGATTCTACCGTTGGGCTGTTTACTGTTGGGGTAATGAAACATCTGCAAGAAAACCAGCAAACTCAGAGAGCACCAAGGACCCCTGATTTCAATCCTGAGCTACAATTATTCTCCTTTATTGGAGAAAAATAACTCTGAGTTGGAATAACCGGGCTTAACTGGAGAAGATGGGGGGAATTTTATTTAACTGCAAAAGGTACAGTTATGCCTGGGAGGAGTAGGACCTGGCCTTCCTGTTTGGAAATGCTAAATAAAGGGTAGCACGCATATTACTTGGATTTATTTTTACAAACAAATTGGAACTACAGCTACTGTACAGACTTACTGTAGTTGAATTCGGTAGGGCCTTTTCCCAGATACTCAAATGAGGTTTTACTCTCTTAAGTGCTGCTGGATTAGACAGCAGTGGAAGTTTTCCTGCTCCTTTTCTACAGCTGCCCACTATTTGGGATGATTCAACAGAGGAGGAGGAATTTTACCTGGAATAAGTTAAAGTTGGGCATCCTTGGATACAAAAATGGAAAGATTTCAAATGTTGCTTCTTTATCTTCAGTTCTTGTGTACCTTAGTTCCTGGGCTTGTGAAAGAACAAATAAGAAATGAGGGGTTGATAATTGAGTTTCTTAAAAAAAAAAACCAATCTGTACACTCATGTACAGATCCTACACAAAAAAAAACCAAATAAGAGCAAACACTATAAATGTGAATAAACTGAATTATTTTTACCTATTAATTTACCCATTGCCAGCGAGGTTTCCTATACCAATCAAGATTTCACCCTCAAACCCAGATTTCACACAAACGATAACAAAAAACTGATAACAGTTTAAGTTATTTTTACCAATTTAATGCATACAATATAATTCAATGTAATGTATAAAATAACTTAGATTTCATTAAATATTAATATTAAAATAAAAAGCTATAAACCCAGATAGAAAGTGGAAAACCAGCATCGGCAACCCTGAGGAAAGGTATTTTCATAGTTTTGTGTGACTGTCACTGAGAAAGGTTCTGAAGACTGATATACAGTATATGTGTTGTTGTGACATAGATTAAGGCTTGGTGTGTGCAGGGAATAATGTTGGAGGAAAGGAGGAAAACACTAAAATTTATTGAAAGTTTAATTTTTTAAAAGTCAATTCACTGGCAGCTATAAACCCTACCCCTTTTTATACATACCGTATTATATGTGTAGTCAGCAAAGAGGTGGGGTTAAATCATGTAATTATGGCTGACATAATTATTTTTGACATTTCCATGAGGTTAAATCTGATTTCAAATGAAAAATTGATTGTGGTTGGTATGTTGATTATTGTAATTTGATATAAGAGTATTTATAAATATTCTTTCAGATCTGTTTAGCAACAAACAATCTCAAGAATTTGACTTCTTTTGGATAGGAGTGTTAAGCCAAATTTTGTGGAAACATTGTTTTATAATTAGGTAAGATGATTTTGAATCTGTTTCTTGCATATTTTGCTTGTAAAATCCTCCAAATCAGGTTTGTATAATCAGTTTTGATAACAGAACAGAATAACAGAGTTGGATGGGACTTTGGAGGTTTCTAGTCCAACACCCTGCTGAAGCAGGAGACCTTATCCCATCTCAGACAAATGGTTATCCGATTTCTTCTTTAAAACTTTATCATAATAAAACTAGCATTCTATATTTGTGAGAAACAGTTTGTTATTAATACTTTCAGCTTCGATCTTTGCTTGTCTTTTTTAAAAGTATAATTTCAGTATGTCTGTTTTACAGAAGTCTTGATCCTGCTTGGTTTTGCTGGCTTGAAATTATCATCTTGTTTTCGTGGGTTTCCCCCCCTATACATATTAATATAACTTATTACAAGGACATCAAAGTGAAAAGTAAGTGTTCATTTATAAGGCAAACAGAGATCTGGAGTGATATAGAAAATTGATTTCAGTAATCTGACTTTTATTCAGATACCAATTATAGAAATAAAGACCTTTTTAAATTAAATTTTATTTTATTAATAACAAACCTTATCAATTTTAATATTTTGTTCATGATTTGTATTGTATTTTGTATTTAATTTGTATTTAAGTTTATTTATATGCCGCCCTTTTCCCTGGGGGGACTCAGGGCGGCTTACAACTTAAAANAAAAATTCTAGAGTTGGGCTATAGTTCACAATCTTAAAAGAAAAGAAAAATGACCAGTAGCTTCAAAAGTGAGGTCACTACTGCAGTTAAAAAATCCATTTCCAACATGCTCAGACCAATACTATGGAAGGGTTTTTTTTTTAAAAAAAATCTTCTACAGTCCATTAGACTCAGTCTTAAAGAGAGCATATTTTTCTTTTATGGAAGAATACTCATGGAGATTTTAAGACTGAAAGATAATACATTAGGACATAATCATTTTTTAAAAATACAACTGCAAAAATACAATACTTATGAAATTCACACTGTATTTCATAAGCACACAGTAAACGAACAACACAAGTGTTGTAACAGTTATTAAAACACAATGGAAATTAGGCAAATCTTGCCAAAGTGTTGATTGCTTTGCAGAAGGAAGAATAGTTGTCATGGATGATGTAATGTAGAAAAATAAAAATTCTTACAATCATGTGAAGAAAGTTAGCACCCACCCCTCCTAGAAGAATGAAATGTTTTAGGAAATATTAAAAAGTTGGATAAAATATTTCCCCTAAAAGAGAAATAAAAATCTTAAAGGAAACAGAAACCTAGCTCCCTGCCCCCAGTAGATATTTTGGTGCACATTGGGAAGGACTGAGCCATCCTATCTATAAGACAAAAAAATCTCCAGCTCCAGGATGATGGGATTAAGACATGACCCTCTAGGACCATGATGGCGAACCTATGGCACGCTGAGTCATATTTGGTGGCTTCCCATAGCTTTCCTGAAGCTGGGGGGGGGGGGAAATGGCCCCAAAAGGCCAACTGGAAGTTTGAAAACGATCCATTTCTGGCTTCTGGGGGGCCAGGGGAGGCTGTTTTCACCTTCCCCAGACCTCAGGAAAGCGTCCAGAGCTTGAAGAGGGGTCACATGTGCATGCATGGGGGGAGGCGGGCGCACATGCACGAGTGGGCGGGGAGGTTGAGTGGGCACGCACACTGTGTGTGTGTGTGTGTGTGTGAGTGAGTGTGTATGTAATAAAATCTGCTGAGTTTCTCTTATTGCCATCATAGTCACTGAGCCTAGCAAGAAATTATAATGCCTTTTTCTTCTCTATTGTGATTCCCTCTTTAATACATAATCTTTGTGGGTTTGTTGGCAAGATAATGCCTTTCTTATAATGTGTTTTTCAATTAACTGCACATTAGAGTTGCTTTTCTTCTAAGTCCCATTTGCTGATTATTTTTATATTAATGTTATATTTTTGTTTATTTACCTTCATTTTGCTTACCAGTTTTGAAAAAAGAGTAAGAGATATAGTCCACAAAGCTTTTTGGGATTGCTTGGAAGCACAGTTAAAGGAAAAACCTCCATCATATGATCATGCAATTAAACTTGTAGGAGAAGTTAAAGAGGTAAGATAGAAAGTATCTAGAGGTAAGATAGAAAGTATTTATTGTCATTTGTTTATTTATTGTCATTTGTCTATCTGCAAATCTAATTATTTAAAAATAATTGAAGTAGCAGCAATATACAGCTTTAGTTGTACAACTAGTAATCTCCACAGTTTTTTGAATAGCTAGTCAGCCAGGGTGGGACAGCAGTGGCAGCAGGAGGTGGTCATAAATATAAAAAGTCCCAATTTTGTGCATGTGACTATGGAGGCAATGTGACCAACAGAACTTTGAGGATTGGTCATAAGTCCCTTCATTTAGTGCCATTGGAACTTCAAATGGTTGCTGAACATTAAGCAAGGACAATTTGTATGTGTTATCTTCCAAATAATCCCATTTACATCGTTGCTAGTATTCTTAAAGTACTAAAATATTCAAAAACAATGGACTATTTTACATGGATTACCCAATGAATATGTAAAATTGGGCCTTTGTGTTCCATTTCGATATTCAGATGCAGTTTTTGGAACGCTGGAAGATAGTATGCTGAGATAGATGAACTCTGGTTTGATCCATTAAAGAAGGTTTTTACTGTCTTAAAACCATGATCTATTTGTTTTCTTGGGCTTTGGAAACATGGATGGGCGATGCAAATCCTTTATTTGTAGTTTTGAAATAGCTTTTGTTGCTTTGCTCTCTTCTCACTCCTTTAAGATCTGCCATTTATCGCTCTAAAATGAATGTACTAGGACTTTTTATTTTCCAATTATCTGGTTTATGACCTGACACTACTGAGTCATTACGCTGGTCATTCTAGGCTGCCACTTGACTGAACAAGATTTTTCAATTTGGCAGTATAATGGCTATAACCTTTTAGATAAGCCTTTACCTACCATATTGAAATTCTATCCAATTGCTTCTTTGTAACATGATATTGGGACAGAATAGTATTGCAAAAAAAAGGGCAAACAGAAAGAATTGCTTAACTTTCATTTGCTTTTTTTCATTTTTTTCCCAATCAAGCTGTTCAAGAAGCTTTAAAAGAAAAATGGAGCACAAATCTATAATCAATTGTATCTTGAATGCAGTTGGAGAAATGTCCAATTTCAATAAATGAAACTCTGAAAACCTAAAATCATTTGACATTACATTTTTATATGACCACTATTCATAGTAACATAATGTTGTACTGTACTGGTTTTTATTTTTGAATGGTGATGACACCAATGTAATTAGGACTAGGAGCTAATAAAAAGGCTATTACTTTCTTTCAGACTCTCTTGTCTTTTTTGCTGCCTGGCCATACTCGATTAAGGAATCAGATTACTGAAGCTCTTGATCTGGAGCTGATAAAGCAGGAGGCTGAGAATGATGCCCTTGACATTTCGAAGCTGGCAGAATTCATCATTGGAATGATGGGGACACTCTGTGCTCCATCGAGAGATGAAGAAATCCAGAAGTTGAAAGACATTCGTGAAATTGTTCCCCTGTTCAGGTGCTAGTGGGGGAAAAGAAAAAAAAAGGAATAAGTCTTCACTTCAAAATGGCTTAAACAGCTGCATTATTTTAATAGTCATTAAATGCTATCTGGACTACTTGAATATATTTTCTTTGCTTTTTATTGGGGACGTTATCTTAAGAATGAAGAAAATTTGGAATAATAAAGGAAGATGATTATTTGGCTAAGAATAATTCTTGTAATGTTTTGCAGTGAGGTGTATTTCCAGTTCTTTAAGGTGAAAGTTCAAGCCCCTTATAGCAGATCCTAGTATAGTATAGTATAGTATAGTATAGTATAGTATAGTATAGTATAGTATAGTANAGATTTGAATGGGAATGATAGCAATATGTCAGAGAGTGAAATTGAAAGAAACTATAAAAGTTGGTTCCAAGCAAAGAAAGTTATAAAAAATAATTTAAGTACTGTGAGGTGCTGGTACGGCTGCTTTAATTGATAAAATGTTGAACTTTGGATGCGCTTTGTTTATGAATGGCAATGCAGTTTCGTTAACATATGTGAAGGTTGTATCTGTGCATGAAGATTGGAAGAATGCCTATATTGTTTTCTCATAAAAAAGATTTACATAAACATTACTAATCTAAGTACATATGTTTAGGATGGTTCTTGTCAAAATTCCGATTGAGCAAATGTGCAAAATTTGAGGACTGTCAAGTGGCTTTATGCCTGGCAACAATGTGCAGGCCAGATCTGGAATAATTCGATCATATATAAAGAGTGAATGAGGATCCAATTGCACAACAAATACATGAAGAAAGAGTGAGTGGAATGAGAGAAAAAAGAAGACCAAGAACATGTTTGTATGTGGAGTTTATAACACCCTTTAAAACTAGAGTAGTGAGAAATTTAAAGAATAAATGACTGAATTACTGTGTAGAAATAATTAAAATCTAGGATGATTTGCAAAAGCAGAAATGTGTTGACAGGTATGAAAGATGTTGGCATAACAAGATTGGGATAAATTAACTATATCAGTTAATTAAAAAAAGAATTTTTTCACATAGCATTTCTTAGTTATCTTCCCCATGTTGAATAAAGATTCTTCATTTTGAAAGGGAATAGCATGATGGGTACGTATGTATAATACATGATTATATTACAGCTTCAGGTATTGTATATCTTGATTGAAATGATCAGATTGCACGTTCAACTAGTAGGCTATACTTTGCTGAAGCATATTTCCTTGGTCCACAGCTAGCCCTGCTCAGTTTGTGTCAGTGGAGGAACTGATGGATACAGCAAAAGGTGTTACAAACATGGCCTTGGCCCATGAGATTGTTCTCAATAGAGGTTTTCAGATTAAGCCGCCTGACTTGCCAGAAAACAGGTAAGAGACCTGTTATGGGTTGAAAAAAATTCTAGAGTTGGGCTATAGTTCACAATCTTAAAAGAAAAGAAAAATGACCAGTAGCTTCAAAAGTGAGGTCACTACTGCAGTTAAAAAATCCATTTCCAACATGCTCAGACCAATACTATGGAAGGTTTTTTTTTTTAAAAAAAATCTTCTACAGTCCATTAGACTCAGTCTTAAAGAGAGCATATTTTTCTTTTATGGAAGAATACTCATGGAGATTTTAAGACTGAAAGATAATACATTAGGACATAATCATTTTTTAAAAATACAACTGCAAAAATACAATACTTATGAAATTCACACTGTATTTCATAAGCACACAGTAAACGAACAACACAAGTGTTGTAACAGTTATTAAAACACAATGGAAATTAGGCAAATCTTGCCAAAGTGTTGATTGCTTTGCAGAAGGAAGAATAGTTGTCATGGATGATGTAATGTAGAAAAATAAAAATTCTTACAATCATGTGAAGAAAGTTAGCACCCACCCCTCCTAGAAGAATGAAATGTTTTAGGAAATATTAAAAAGTTGGATAAAATATTTCCCCTAAAAGAGAAATAAAAATCTTAAAGGAAACAGAAACCTAGCTCCCTGCCCCCAGTAGATATTTTGGTGCACATTGGGAAGGACTGAGCCATCCTATCTATAAGACAAAAAAATCTCCAGCTCCAGGATGATGGGATTAAGACATGANTGGAGGGTGGTGAGGGTACGAATCTCCATGGGGAGATCGTTCCATAGGGTCGGAGCTGCCACCGAGAAGGCTCTCCTCCGCGTGGTTGCCAGTCGACATTGACCGGCGGATGGAACTCGGAGGAGGCCTAATCGGTGAGATCTAATTGGTCGAATGGAGGTGATTGGCAGTAGGCGGTCTCTCAAGTGATACAGTTCAGAGGTTCTTACTGGTTTGAGTGAACTTGTAGCGGTGGTGACTGGAGGCTCCGTCCACCCACCCTGACGTAATGCATGACCTTCTGTGCATGAGCAGAAGGCGGTGCATATGCACAGAAAGTGGTGCGTGCGAGTAAAGTGTGAACGTGCATGAGCACGCTCACATTTGCGAACCGGTAGTGAAGGCAAGTAAATCCCACCACTGATACAGTTGACCGCTATCTGTAGAAGATTCTATGAAGTAATAATTCACATGATTTATGCCTGCTTGCTACAGGGATGTTGATTTCTGGATTATAAAAGACTTTCTTTTGTCAAGACTAATTTATCTTTGAAACAATGAACTAAAATAGGACAAATATTTTAGAGCTAGATTATTTTTAACCTCCAGTTTTTAAAGCACTGCACCATACTGCTTCTTAGTATTTGTATATCACCATATATGTGTAGTTTGTTAAAAGTCTAACCTTATTTTGCAAGAGATTTTTTTCTTATTGTCTGTTTAGAATAAGGGACTTCCTTAGTGTAAAAATATAAGAAGAAAATTAGAACTAAACTTATGCCTTAAAACATGGGTTCAGATTTCATTTTCAGATGGAACAACAGACCATAATTATTAATAATAATGATATTATTAACACTCTGTGTTAAAGTTTGGAAAGTGACACATTCTGTGCTGATAAACATGGAATGTGTAATGTTGGCTGTGGCAAAATGACAGTGGCAAGTTGGCCATGGTGAGTTGTTCTAGACCAGTCTTTGTTCTGAAAATAGTTCTGTACCTCTGTCATGGTTAGGATGTTTAAGGGACTACATTTTGCTACTTACTCCTTTTCATTTGCTGCATTGTGCCATGATCTGCAGTGAGTTAGCATGATTGTTCTGATTGTTCTGTCTTTACCTATAGCTATAAGGGACTCTAATATTGTAAACATAACAAATGTGCTCATACGTATTCAGAGAAAGAATTATCTTGAAACATCAGTATTTTGAGGATAGGAAGTAAAGTGCCATTTTCCAATATCTATTTGACAATAGTTAAGCCCAAAAATTTAAATATACTTTTGATGTCATACAGGCAACTTTTAAGCTTAAAATGTTCACAAATCCATGTGCAAGTACAAATGTAGATATTTCAGTTCAGTCATCATTATAGAGTAGAAAAGATTGATAGGCTATCCTTTCTTTGACAGTCACTCTTGATTAGAAGTTTAATAAAAAATTAAACAGTAACTGTAAATAAGAAATCCAACAAATTGGTGGAAATGTTATTTATTCAATTTATATGGCTGCCCATCTCACATACGTGACTCGGGGCAGCTTACAATAAAAGAAGTAAACAATGTAGAGAAAAATATAGTATTTCATTGGCCTGCTTGGTGCTCACCATCCATAAACTCAACTTATGTGCTTTTCTCTGCTGGCAGAGATATAGATCTGCTTGTATGTTGCTGGTCAGTATGTCTCTATGTTATGTGTACAGCCATGCCAGATATTCTTTTGGAATCAAAGCACAACAGATTGGTCATATGACTATCCCTTTTCCCTTAGCATCTTATCTCTTAGTTTGCAATTCATACACAAAGCAGGGTGCTGCTGTCCCTCTAGTCAGCATGGAAATGCAACAAGGGATAAGTTTTGTTTCATTCTGTGCTGGGCGCAGAAAGATGACAAAACACTGTCCTTCATACTCTGCTCAGAAATTGGTGCCTTGCAAAAAGGATTTTGTCCTTCCATTAGCAGTCAGTGTACTCAGAGAGATTGTAATTATTTATGTTTTGAACAACTTGATTAATATTTAATTAAAAGTCTGACACAAGACCTAGGCAAGAATTCCTCTTGCAGGGATGAGAGATGCTATTGCGTAATATGTTATTCCAGTTTAATTGGAATCAGTTTGGTCCATAGCCAATAACATATTGCCATTTGACTTCAAAGTTAATTCTGTGTTTTTTTGATCTTCAGAACATTTCCTTCACAGAATATTACTTCAGTATGACATAAGTTCATTGAGTGATTAATGTTGCCTATTTTATCACTTGGTGTCTTGGGTACTACAAATATCTCAAAATAAGGTGGTATCGGATTTAAGGTTCCCTACTCCAAAACAAAAAAATAGAATTAAAATATAAACAAACACAAAGATTTTGTGCAATGCTCTTTTCCTCCACTATCTATCTATAGTTGTTAGTTTCATCTGAAAAAATCCTAGGATTTCGTTGTTCACCAACAAAACACACCAACTTGTGTGTGAGTATTTATTAAATGAGTACACTCCATACATGTAATTATTAATCTGCAGAATCAAATATGCTGATTTTTTAAAAGGAATTGAATTATGATTATTATAACTGCTATAGTGTTATTTTAATATGCTACTTTTCTCACCTTTAAAAATTAGATTACATCAGTAGTGGTAGATGCAAATTTGTATTGAATAATGGTTTATTGGTATAGAATTTGGCAGCAATGGTAAAATTATATGGATAAGTCTAATTCCATCTTTCTCAACTGCCAAAATTAAGGATGTCTCAGGATCCAAACATACCAAATGTAACTGAAGGAAAATCAGATGTGTCACAGGATAATCAACACGACCATGTGGAAAATGCAGAACAGTGTGTCCGAAAGAAGATTCAACAGAACACACCAAGTCCTAGTAGAAGCAACATATCTGAGAGTAAGCAAAATTATTCCGATAAAATACTTTTTATCACAAGAAAAATAATT